AACTGGTTTGTTGATATCAGATCTAAACAAAGTTCACTCATTACATTATGGAATATAACTTAGATTAAACATAGCTCTCTGGGTGGCATCTGTATTAGATTTTGCAACTAATTATGGTCTTAAGGAGATTGGTGCTAGCACTCTGGTGATATGTACACCAAAAATTACATATCATATGGAAAGAAAGAAACCCTAAGCCTGGTATATAGAAGCACTGGAAATGGTCTATCAAGTGAGTTCCAATTCGCACCAGAAGATGAAAGTGGCAGGAGTTTTATAAGCCTTGAATTCTAGTCAGAGATGCCTCCACTGTACTAAAGATCTGCATCTTCATGGAGGTGGACACTGTTACTGCCCCAGGCAATAGGGAAAGCTCAAATTATTGGAATGATCTGACCCATGAGGTCTTTCGTTGTGCCTAACTGATCTCTGGCATCCTTAGGAGCAAAACTGATGAGAAACTCCATGAAGATATCACTTGATTTAAGTAGCAGGAAATCTCCAAGTCTGGTGAGCAGAAACTGACCTAAGCTGGTATAACAAAGAAACAACCAGGGTTCTCACTCAATTCCCAAGCTCAAAGTCTCAGTGATGCAAAGGCCAGGTCATCTTGGGTAGGCATACTATTACTGCAAGTCTTCTCAGCCTTCCTCAAAAGAGGCCTTCCATCATTGGGAAACCCCAGTGGCAAAACATATCTCTCTGACTGGAAGGAAATGGACTTAGGAAGGATTTAGCTTGTGTGGACTCATGGCCGGGAACTAAGGGTTTGGCTGAATGGCTTGGGGAAAGGTGGAAAGAACATAATAAATGAAGCCTTTAACTGGATATATCAGAAAACCAAAATATGAGAAGATAACCATTCCATGTAAATGCTGACAGCAACAGTGGCTGTTTAATAATCATGTGGACCTTATTTCCACTGTGTAGATGTCAGTCAATCTTCTTTCCTCCTTATCCTGATGGTTTACTAAGTGGGTTCATTCTAGTGGCAGAAATAGATGCTGAGCCTGGGCTAAACCACAAGACCTTCCCCTCAACCAAGTTAATGATACGGTTCTTTGTAGGAACCAGACAACTACTTGTGGAAAGTTGATTACAATGGGCCCTTGTCATAATAGAGAAGGACAATGATTTGTCCTTACTGGAAAAACCACTGGTGCTGGACATGCATTTCCTTCAGCACCAGACCTCTGCTGGGTCTTGGTGAAGGCGCCTAGACTGTCATTGTGGCATCTCAGACAGCACTGCTTCTCCCCAGTGACCATCTCCTGCTCAATCACAGCTTTCTGAATCAAAATTACAGAGGCAGCTTGGAGACACATCCTGATGCTGCCATGCAGGAGACACATGCTCTGAACTTATGACTGATGTCACTGGGTAATGCTCACCTATTGTGGGAAACCACTGGTACACACAGAAGTTTTTTTGGTGACTTCTTAACACACTTGAAAAATATTTCTTCCCCATCCAATAACTACTCTGTTGAAACTGAATTTAGAACCACAAGGGAGAAGTACTTCCACTGGAGTTCCCAGCCCTGACTCTGCTGAATTAGAACCCAGTAAGCCTGGTCATTATAGCATCTTCTAGCCACTGGGGAAAAAAGCACCCAAGGAAAACATGGATGGCCTTGTGGTCACTGACACCATGGTTTCTCAACTGGACTCATATAATGGCCTTCACATCAGTTTCCCTTCCTCTGCCTTTCCCCCGCAAACTCCTTTCTCTCTGAAGCAGAAATTAGAACCTATCATTCTCCTGCTGGCAATGATTTCCCATTGCACTCAAAATAACCCAAATCCTCGTGACCTGCAGTGCCCTTCTGTCTAGCCACAGCTGAACCCTCTGACTGCAGCATCTTCTTCTCTCCCTGTTCCCTGAGCTCTAGTCATTCTGGCCTCCTTGCTGAACCTCAGATATATCAAGATTTTGCCTATCTTTGGATGTCTATTGCTTCCTCTGGGACCTCTCCTCCTCCAAATCTTTTCCTCACTGTCTCCTACTCATCTTTGAAATCTCTACTCCAGTGTCACATCCCACTCCTACTCTCTACCACCTCACCCTCATTCATCTTATGCAGAGCAATCACAGGTCCTTGGGTAATCCTTACTGGCTTATGGGATCTATTTAAATTATAGAATGTGCAGTTTTCCCTCTGTATTTTTGAGGAACTTGTTCCAGGACACCTCACTTACATACCAAAATCCTTGGATGCTCAAGTCCCTTATATATATATATATAATGGCACAGTATTTGCATAGAATGTACGCACATCCTCCTGTATACTTTACATTATTTTTAGATTACCTATACCTAGAACAACAAGAATATCATGTAAATAGTAGTTATAATGGTTGTTTAGAGAATAATGACAAGGAAAAAAGTCTGGGGCTGGGGGTGTAGCTCAATGGTACAGAGGCTGTGTGGATTTGATCCCTAGCAACAGGGGGAAAAAAAAAATCAAAGTCTGAGTATATTCAGTATGGGGGCAATCTTTTTTTGAATTCTCTTCTTTTCAGAAATTTTTATTTATTTATTTTTGAGGTACTAATAACCAAGCCCATGCTTCATGTATGCTAGGAAGGGCTCTAACACTGTGCTGTGCCTCCAGCACCTGATTATTTTTGATCAGTGGTTAGTTGAATCTGTGCATGTGGAACCTTCAGATAGAAAGGGCCACCTATTAACTTGTTGTAATACTTTAATTCTTAGCTATATCTCAAATGATAAAAACAGTACCTAGGTCATAGCTGATGCCCCATTAATTTTTATAGAGTAACCGATTTTTGACCAACAGGAAGTAGACAGGATCACCTCCTCTGGCACCGAGCCCTAACAGGTAAGATACTGGGAGAGGCCAGGAAGCAGCCAACGGGAAGAATATCTGTGCAGTTGAAAACTACCACCTACAGCCTTGTAACCAGACCCCCCCCCCCCAAAAAAAAAAAGAGAGAGGTTTCCTTTTATGATGTCATGTACTCATAATACAATAGTTTATTTACTATGCCCTTCCTCTTCCTACTTCCCATCATGATACAGTGTTGCTTAAATTTATCTCAGGCTAAAAACACTAACAGAACTGGAGAAGAAAGAGTTCTAACTCCACAGTCTTAGACTTGGAGGTGTCAGCTATAATTGATGAGTCTTTGGTTTGTCATCCCTAGGTAAGGAGGAGGGTTTTCAGTAATATCTGGAATAGGTGCACCATGATAAGAGTACCATTTAGAACATTAGAGACAGTTTTGTTTAGGTTGGAAAATTTTTTTAAAAAAGTACTGCTTGGGCTGGGGATGTGGCTCAAGCGGTAGCGCGCTCGCCTGGCATGCGTGCGGCCTGGGTTCGATCCTCAGCACCACATACAAACAAAGATGTTGTGTCCGCCGAAAACTAGAAAATAAATATTGAAAAATTCTCTCTCTCTCTCTTCTCCCCCTCTCTCTCACACTCTCTCTTTAAAAAAAAAAAAAAAAAAAAGTACTGCTTATTTGTCAATAAGAACCTTTGACCACTCAGCTTTCTTTTCTTTCTTTTCCTGTGGGCAGGGGAGCTAAATCCACTGTCCTTTTTATTTTTTGAGACAGTGTCTCACTAAGTTGCTAAGGTAGCCTCCTGAGTGGCTGGGATTAGAGGCCTGGACCACTGTGTTCAGCTTTATTTTCCTTTGTAGCACTACCTGCCCTGTTAGATATTTACTTGTTATTCTCCTCACTAAATTGTAAGTGACTAAAGAGGCTTTGTTCTGCTGACTGCTGTCACATGGTACATGGTAAGCTCTCGATGGTGAATGAATCAGTGAGAGAGAGAGCAAACGTACAACCTGTACAATCTTTTCCTGTTCCTAACACCACCTAGATTTCCTCTAGGAGAATGAACCCTCCTCTATTGTATTTGGCCTTGGTGGACAAAGAACTCAAGCACAGAAGGCAAGGAGGCCTGAAGGCACCCCCTCCTTCTCCCTGTACCAGTGCTACCAGGTGGTGGACATGACACCTAGCTCCGAGAGCTGAATCCTCATCTGGGGACTCTGACTCTTGGGTGAATGACAGAGGACAAACTGGACTTCACGCCTTCCCTGTGATGGCAGAGTCAGTCCTTCTCATGGCTCCTTGGCTCCTGGGAGCAACCCTGATTGCTTTCTACATCCTAGCCTGGTTCCCCAACCATCCCATCAATTCTGGGAGCACTCAACATCCTTCCAATACATTCCCTTTTTGCTTAACCTAGCCAGTTAATTTTTAGTATTTTTCAATGAAAAAAACCTAAAGCTAAAATGAAAAAATGTAAAAGCAACAAAAACAAAAAACTAATTCTACAGGAAACACAAAATAATCTATTTGCATATGTTCAGGGATTAGAAGAGAAAGCCTCTACATGTCATTATCAAAACCATTTCCGTTTTCCCTGATTTTTGTAACTCTTTGACCATGTGTGTGCAGGTTGTACACTGATACAGTCATGATATATGCTTTTGGTTAAATTCTGTCCCCCCAAGAGATGATGAAGTCCTTACCCCTGGGACCCACAGATGTGACCTTATTTGGAAACAATATCTTTTTAAATGATCAAGTTACAATGAGGTCATTAGGGTGGATCCAAATGCAGTAAAGTTGGTGTCTTTATAAAGGGGAAATGTGGACACAGGAGTCAGACACATGTACCCGGAGAATGCCACAGGAACATGAAGGAACAAACACTGCCACACTCTGATCTCAGACTTCCAGCCTAGGCCTTGGTTCTCACTGGGATGTGCCCGGTGGAAGGTTAGGTACGCAGACATCACAAGGGGGTCAAACTTCTCCAATTCACCAGGTTGGCTGAAAAAGCACCCACCCCCCCAAACAGCAAATGACACACCCTTATCCTGAGAAGAAACTTCCTCAAGGCCAGGCAAGCACCACCCTGACCCAGAGGAAGAAGAAAAGCAGCAAAATCACCCGGACACTTTGGGCACCTGGCAACAAACAGATGTTTCCATAGGAGGCCACTTTGAGACTCACCATTGGATGCTCTCATCTGCCGCCGACGTCCCACACGGTCTAGTCCAATGGGGGTGCTCTGGGAAAATGTGAAGGGCCTGAGCCTGGCCGACACTGCCTTGTAGGGTGGCACCTGGTGAGCGGGCACGGGTGGCCTGGCTGTTGGCTACAAAAGGAAAGCAAAAGCTATAAGAAGGGGCCAGGAAGTGGCAGCTCCTGCAAGCAGCAGGCTATACAGCCTTCTCACCACAAAGCCACTCACAGATGTGAAACGGCTTCTCCAAATCCTGCCAAGAGCTGCAGGCTGCACTGGGCTCAGTGGCAATGTGTTAATCTAAAACTTTAACAGTCATTATCAGCTCAGAGGCTCCTACCTCACAGGATCACATCTCATCGCATTTGTCAGAGACATGTCAACAGGGAATAGTAAGCAAAAGTGAAGTGCCTGAGAACAGGACTGATTTAGGAAATGACAGAATGCCCACACAGCTTCAGGGTCAGGGTGAAGAAGATGCCTTCCCAAGAGCAGACTCTGGAGGAAGCAAAGATGTAGACATAAGGCCCAGCCAGGGTTACAGATAGCAGCTCTACCCATCCCTGAAGACCCACAAGGACTTGTGGACCTAAAGTCAATTGCTTACATAAAATAACAACAGCTGAGCTTTTATAAAAAGCTGGGTTTTGCCAAGTGTAGTCGCACATGCCTGTAATCCCAACTACTAGGGAGTTGAAGAAGGAGGATCACAAGTTCCAGGTAACCCTCAGTAACTCTCGTGAGACCATTTCAAAAAAAAAATGTGGGAGATATAGCTTACTGGTAAAGCACTGCTGGGTTTAATCACCAGTAATGCAGGGATGGGGATGTGACTCTGTGGTAGAACGCTTGTCTAGCATGTGCAAGGCCCTAGGTTTCATCTTCAACACTGAAAAAAAAAAAAAAAAGATAGTTTCCTACATATTTACCCAGGTCTCTTTGGAATCATCTATAATGTACCTTCCTATTTTCCATATGTATGACTCCTATAAGTATGCATCAAAGGCTCACTTGGTTTGTGCTTTCCTTGGATTTGACTGAAGAAGTTATTTGTTTGTTTATTTGTTTTAGTGCTGGGGATTGAACCCATGGGCGACTTACCACTGAGCTACCTCCCCAGACTTTTTTAAATTTTAAGGCTGGGTCTCACTGAGTTGCTTAGTACCTTGCTAAATTGCTGAGGCTAGCCTCAAACTTGCAATATTTCTGCCTCAGACCCAAGTCACTGGGATTACAGATATCTATCACTGTGCCCAGCCTTCCTTAGGTTCTTAAAGAATTTTTCTACCCAACTCCCTAAGTAAAATTATGATACAGAAAATTATTTTGCCATACTTTTTTTTGATAATCTGTAGTGAAATATTTTTAAATGCTTTAGATTGTCTCTATACTGCACTTCAGGTTATAATAGAGTACAAAGTATTTTAGTTCAAATTATTTCCTCTAACTGGTAGAGTATCTTGGAGAAGGATCTTACAGATTTTGAGATATTCTTCAATTTGACTTGCTTTTACCTTAAGAATTCAATTTAACTCAATTGAGTTAAATAAGAGGTTTTGAGTGCTTGCTGCCAACAAGGCATTGTGCTGGGACTTCACAGGGAGAATGTCAACATTAAATCCAAAACCAATATAGAATTTCCCTTTTAAGAGAATTTATGTGTTATTTAAGACATCATCCAGCAGGTTTTAAAAATAAAATTGGGCATATACATTACTTAAAGACTGTTGTGTGAACATTTGACCACAGCCAGGATATCAACTTTGCCAAACACATATAAAATTTCTTTAGGACTGCATCTTTATTTAAAAGTCTTATATACTCAGAGTACACTGGGCACTTGATAAATATTTGTTGAATTTAAAATATACCAAGGGACCAATGTCAAACCAGTTGCAAATCAAAAAACAACCAAGAAAGAAAGAAAAAGAAAAGGTAAGAAAAGAGTAGAGACCGGAGACGTAGGGGGGTAGCTCAGTAGTAGACCACTAGCCCAAGCACATGTGAGGCCCTGGGTTCCATCCCCAGAACCCCCTCTTCCCCCCCCCCCACAGGATAAAACAGATTTTCTTTTAAGTGTGATAAGAGGTGCATTTTTTCCCCTACCATTTTGTTACCATTTCTTTTTCTTTTTCTTTTTCTTTTTGGTATCAGGGACTGAGCCCAGGGGCACCTAACCACAGAGCTACATCCCCAGCCCTTCTTTATTTTTCATTTTGAGACAGAGTCACACTAAGTTGCTTAGGGCCTCACTAACTTACTGAGGCTGGCTTTGAACTTAAGATCCTCTTGCCTCAGCCTCCCAAGACACTGGGATTACAGGTGTGCAACTGGCTCCTTACGTTTTTTGTTCATTTGGGGTTAGAATCCATGGCCTTGCATATACTAGGCAAGCACTCTGTCATGGGGCTCTATCTCCAGCCCTTCTATTTCTTTTTATTTTCTTTTATCTTTCCATTTTAACAATAGACCACTCTCTGTTGTATCCTGTTACCCTTCCCCTGGTTAAAATCTCAGGTTGATTAGAAACAAAAGGCAAACCTGTTTCACAAATCATTAGAGACCTCAGGAAAGAAAGATTAGGAAAAAGGTGAACAGGTGTCAGGGGGTTAGTTTGAATTCAAGCAAGTTTTCAAGCAACATCAGGAGGAAAAGGCTGTGAGGAGATGCATCATCTTCCAGGAAGAGAGAAGAAAGCAAAAGCAGCTTCCGGTTTAGTTTGCAGTGAGAGAACAAAGGCCTGGAAGCTGGAAGTTCTTTGCCGGCTGTGGTAGCAACACACCAAATCTTACTTGGGTTAGAAGATTCTCGATTTCCTCTGTTTGTTTGTTGCCATAGAAGGTGACCCCTCCTATCACAGAAATGGGGCGTCTTCTCCGACCTCCTTTGGTACAGCTGGCTGAAACATTCTTGTCTGCAGAACCAGTGGAGGACATGTTCTCCAGGGGGGGCCCATCCACACAGTCCTTGCTCTGGGGGTCCACAGCAACGGAGTCTTCAGGAATGGACAAACTTCGGCTGGCCAGCTGGCCATAGTCAGACAGTGGCCGCGGTCTGGACCGCTTCCCGGAGCCCCATCTCCTCCTGGTGATCCTGGGCACCTCTGTCCTCTCCTCATCCTGGGATGAGCCTGGCCTCCAGGGATCACCAGTCACAACCTTTTCAAATGTGAACATGTTAGGTGAGCTCCAAGATCCAGGAAGGTATTAACAAAGAACAAGCTATCTGTCTCCTTCCCCACTATCCTCCTCAGCACCACTTGGGGCTGCCTTGATTTACTTGTTTACAATTATTATTTGTGTAGCAGACAATGAAGATACAACTAACGAACTTATAACTATAGTTAATGTGTCCCAAATATACAAAATAATAGCATGGAGGAGGCTCAAACCTGAAATGAGTGTGTAAAGCTACACATGGCTGCCCTAAGGTATTTCTTTCAAAAATGTGCACTACTTAAAAACAGAAGACTAAATCCAGGGTGTTAGCTGCTGGACCTGGCAGCTTCTGGGCAGCAGTTTGATGGGGGAAGAGCACTGAACTAAGATTGAGAGAACTAGATCAGGTGACTAAGTAGCTGTGTAATCTTGGACAAGTCACAACTAACTTCTCTGGATCTCAGATATTAGACTGGACACATCTCACGACTCAAAATTTTGTGACCCTCAATAAAGCAATACCTTCTTTCTTTTTTTGGTCACAATGCAGAGGATCAAACCTAAGGCTTTGCACATGCCAGGCAAGAACTCTACCATTGAACTACACCCCCAGACCCCCTTTTCATTTTTGAAACAATTCTTCAGAGTCAATGAAATGGTCAGAAAAACACAAGAGGTTTGAAATCAGGCAGACTTCTGTGCTAGTCACTGTCTGGGCAACCAGCTAGCCTTGTAATCTCAGGGAAGTTAGTCAATGTCTCCCATTTGGCTCCCTAACTATACACAGGGGAAGAATAGGTCCTTGCAGGGATGAAATGTGATAATGGTAATAGGCCTTATCAGCTGGAGTTAGTGATCACTCTTACAAAGCCATGTATGTCCTATCCCCTGGGTTTACTCCTGCCTGGAGGTAGACAGATGCTATCTCAGCAACTCCCTCAAAGTCTGGACACTTGAGTCCAAAGACCTGCTGGAGCAGAGCCAGCAGCAGACCAGCCTGCAAGTCAGGCCTGATGCCTTCAGTTCTTCCATCCTGGGGCAAAGGAAAAAGGCTGTCATACCCCAGGCACAGGGAGGACAAGGAGAACACCCAGAGACAGTAAGTTGGTAAGGCAGGCAATGGCTGAGGATGTAGCCTCAGGCATCCCCACCCTGTCCTTACCCACAAGACTGGTTGGATCTGAAGAAAGCTAAATGGTGGTGGCCCAAGAAGGCACACCTCCTGCCAGTGACAACAAAGATCTGAATCATAGGCCCTAAGATTTCCAGTCTGATGAGTTTGAACATTCAAGAAGATCATGCACCATGAAAATTTGATGAAGTGCCAAGGAAGCAGGAAGGGATTAGTAGATATTCTATTTCAACCTCCTCATTTTTCAAATTAGAAACATTGAGACCTGAAGATGTTCAGTGACTTGTCCCAGTCACAGAGCCAGTTCGTGGCAACAAAGACCCTGAAAGGTGAATCTCATAATTTCTGTCCCACAAGTTTTCCAGCAGTCTCACAGAGGATCCTAGCAGTCTTCACTTACCCTGTTATCCACCTTTTCTTGTTTGTTTGTTTGTTTGTAGTGCTAGGGATCAAACCTGGGCCTTTGTGCATACTTGGCAAGTGCTCCACCACTGAGCTATATATACGCCAGCCCTCTCCACTGATTCTCTCTCACTGCTAGAATGCTGCCTACATCAAGGCACTACGAAGGGACCCAGATTATGTTACTATGTAATAAGAATTATTCTGAGTCCGAGGCATTGAAGAATAGGCTTTGTTTCTGAACTGTTACCTGCCTAAAAGCAGAGGTTCCCAAAAGGAAAATCCATGCCTAAATAGACATCTATCTTGTCTCCCATTTCTTCTCCTAGAAGCCCATTTATCTCTCTTAAAGGACATTTGCTTTTCCTCTAAATTCCCTTCTCCCCCTCCCCTTTCCCTATCAAGATTGTATATAAACCTCAAATTCCAATCACCCACTAGAGCCACATTTTTCTGTGAATACCTACAAACCTACATACACCAGAATAAAAAATCTGTTTTGCTAATCTATTGTTTGTCAATTTAATGCACAGACCTCCAAACACAGCACCTAAGAGGGTAGAGGAAAAGTTTTCCTCCTCAATGCCACCATGGAAAGATATAAGCAAAACCATGAAAGTTGCAATTATTTTCTGAATTACAAACAAATATTACAACTGGTATATACAAAATATATATAATAGATTATACACAAAAAATGATAATGGATGTCTGAAATAAATTATTAAATAAACTGACACAATTTAAGTACATAGTGAAAATAAACCCACTTATAACACTGCAATAAAAAGGTTCAGAAATAACATGCTAGAAAAACAGAAGTAGAACAGAATCAGAGGTAAGAAATAGTCTATTCAATGCTGTATGTGAGGTTTTATTTGTTTTTTGTTTGTTTGTTTCCTTTTGTCAAAGGAACTTAGCTTGTTTTGGCACTTATGCAACTTGCTATTTTTTTCTTACTGATACTGAAAATAAGGAAATACTCCAGGAAGTGATCAGGGCTAAATGAAGGTAGGTGTGCCCAAATCAGGCCATTACACAGCAGGTGAAGGGGCACAAGATTATTCCTTCAACACATCACACCTCAGTGTCAGCTATTGTGTTTGCACAGGGGACACATATAAAAACAAACTATAATTTGATTTTTCAGTGCTTATACAGTTCTACTGAAGATACAAACGAAGCGTTGATTGTTCTAGAAACTGCAAAATTTAGTTAACAGGACAACACGTAACTAAAACAGACATATCCATTTCATGCCCAGTGAAGTACAGAAAGAAGGATGTAAGCTTCAGATTAAAGCTTACATTCACATATTTGATCTCAGGCAGAAGAGAGTTAAATCCCCTATTTAAAAACAAAACAAAACATTCTGAGGGATATTCTAAAACTAAATCCTTTTTCGTGTGTGTGGTTCAGGGATCGAACCCAGTACCTTGCACATGTAGGCAAGTAATCAACCACTGAGCTAGCCGCATCCCCAGAACAAACTAAATCTTTGTTTTGTTTTTAGCAAAATTCACATACTTCAGAAATACTGCCCAGGCTCATTCCAGGGAGTACAATTTGACTGAATTTTTGTGAAACTGAAAACACAGACAGCAACAAACTTCTACAATCTGAGAACCTACCTCTGACTTGGCCATGGGCAAGGGCAGCCCACAAACACACTGGAGAAACAAGCAGTTGACCATGTCCATGTTCTCTAGAGTTTTTCTTGCCTTTAAAGCCCTGTAATCAGGAGCTTACATGGCCAAGCCAGAGCCCTGCCTGGTCCAATCCAGCAGTCTCAGCTAGGATCATTCTAGGGCTCTATAAGCTTGAGTGGCCAATTCACACCCAAGTCATAAACTTTTGTAAACAGACTTTGCAGTGTAGTCACCGCCCTTTTAACTCTTACTTCTCTGTGTACTTTTAATGTACTTTTCCTAGTCAGTATGATACACTTTCTTTCTATACAAGATTTCTTTTTTTTTTAACTTTACAAAAATGCAAAGTTAATATAGGCTGTTATCTCCAGCTAGACATTTCAAATTCTTTTTGAAATCATGATAAGAGCAAATTATGAACACAAGAAAAATAAAAAAATTTTTATAAAGCACCTGGATTTTACATGCATCTATTCAGAAGCCTGACCCACAGTAATCATAAAGGATCGATCAGCAAAGGTTGTGGGTTGATAGTGTCCCCCCAAAGGATATCCCCAAGGTACATGTGAATGTGATGTTATTTGTAGACTGGAATTTTTGCAGATGTAACCAGTTAAAATGGGATCACCCTGGATTAGGTGGGACTTAATAGCTGCTGTCCTTATAAGCAGAGGGAAATTAGGGAGGGCACAGACAAATAGGAAAGGGAGCAAGCCATGAGAGGAGCAGAGAATGAACTGATGCACTGACAAACCAAGGTACACCAAGGCTCACTGGCTACTGCCAGAAGCTGGATAAGGCAAAGGATCCCCCTGAAGACCTTGGCAGGGATCTTGGTCCCGCCCATCATACTTTGATTTTTGAACTTGCCTCCAGAACTGTGAAAGAAAAATTATCTGTTGCTTTAATCCATCCAGTTTCTGGTAACTTATTTTGACAACCATAGTAAACTAGTACAACAAGACAATTCAGAAAGAGATATTACAAGCAAGGAAATTAAAGATGCATTGTGAAGATTAAAAAAAAAATTGAACTAAAGCAAAGGGACTGTGATAGGAAGGGCTTTCCCAAAATGCATATTAATGCAATAAGCTAGCCTCCCAGATTTCCCGCAGGGTTCAACAGCCCCAGATGCCATAAGGAATTCAGGTATTGTTACAGAGATGGAGGTGACAATTAACGCTGTAGAGGATGCAACAACAATAGGAATAAAATTTGAAGGCCTATAATGTGCCAGATCCACGCCAAGCCTGCACAAGAGCTTACTGAATCTTCACAACTAGGAGGCAGGTACTATTTGATATATTTTACTGAATTAAGACCTTGGGGTTAAAATAAATAACTTGCTCACGTTCGTAGAGTCTATCTTATAATCCAGGCTATCTGATTTCAAAATCTCTGCTCTTTCCATTCTGCGACATGCTTTGTTGGCTTACACACTTAAAGAGGGAAAATAGAACTTTTTGAATCTTCCTTCATTGTCCCAAAATAAGAAAATAAAGAAAGGAGGTCTTTATTTTTTTAAGCTTTTACAAACTTAGATGTAGAAATGCTTTGAGGAAGAGGAGTGAGAGCGACGGTTATCAGAGCCTCTGATGACAGGTAAATGGTAGTTTGGAGAAACCTACAGACCCTTTCTCAGAAGCCCATTTTTAAAGACAAAGTAAATCAAGGACTTTGTACCACAGTTATCAAAATATTGAAAGAAATGTTATATAGTAATAAATATCAGATATGAATAGCAGGACTAGTGTTGGTCTAATATCTGCCATATTCTCATCATCATATTGATGAGCATAAGCAGAGATGTTTCAAGA